AGTAGGTCTCAGCATTAAATGCAATTAATTNCACTTTTATTAGTATAGATTGGTCACATGCTAATCTAGCTAATTTTTTAATTTATGAAACCTGTTCTTATTTATTTATCTAACTTTAGAGCAATTCTATTGGGAGATAATTTGAGAACTTAATGACTATGGTCATTAAATTGTCAGTAGGTCTCAGCATTAAATGCAATTAACTATCAATTTAATGGTCACATTGTATTAAGTCTCCAAATTATGTCTCAATAGCATTAATGATAATTTTAACCTAAAATTTTTGTTACATTGTGTTTGTTATATTAAGAAGTTTTTGTTTTTTTTTTTTGTAACTGAAATAGTTTTTAAAATTTTTTCTTTCTTCAAGTATTTTCCTATACAAATATTTGTTCTCTAATTGTCATATTTACTAGTCAACCAAACGCTTCTACAATTAGAAAATAATACAAGCTCGGAATTAGTGTCGTGGTTCATAAAATTGAGATATGACACATGAATTCTCCTCAAAAATTGCCTACTAGATAAAAAAAAATAGAGAGAATTAGTAGATTTATGTCTTGTGCTTCTAGTGATTTGGAAATATTATTACACTCGTAATAGATAAAAATGAGATTGAAAGGAAGAGGATAAGAAAATGAATAATTTGATTGGTATTTTAATTTTAGATGAGGACAAAAGAATAACTAGATGGAAAACATGTGTAAGGGAGAGAGATGCTAAAGAGAGAATGACTAATGATGCCTACTTTTTGCACCTTTTCAACATTTTTAGTTTTCTGTTAAATTTAATTGTGTGTCATTGGATTGAACTATTGGACCCACATCATTTAACTAAAGGTTTTTTTTTTTGTTGGTTTTGGATATTTTATTGGATTTAATTTTTATAGTTTAGATTATATAATATTTGGGGAAAATACAAATCGATACAAAAATATATACTTATTTGAAGGAAAATATAGTATAAAAAACTTTTTGGTCAAAAGTACATGTAATTGGAAAAAGACGAAAAAGCATCAATTAAAAGCAAAACTTGCAAAATTTAGTTTTTTTTGGAAATCATCCATATTCCTTATCACATTAAACACAATTCTGACAAATAAAGACAAAAAAATCGATGGTTCTTCCTATTTCTTTGTCAATTTTTGAAATTTGAAACACCATGTTCCATATCTATNTTTTTGTAACTGAAATAGTTTTTAAAATTTTTTCTTTCTTCAAGTATTTTCCTATACAAATATTTGTTCTCTAATTGTCATATTTACTAGTCAACCAAACGCTTCTACAATTAGAAAATAATACAAGCTCGGAATTAGTGTCGTGGTTCATAAAATTGAGATATGACACATGAAATCTCCTCAAAAATTGCCTACTAGATAAAAAAAAATAGAGAGAATTAGTAGATTTATGTCTTGTGCTTCTAGTGATTTGGAAATATTATTACACTCGTAATAGATAAAAATGAGATTGAAAGGAAGAGGATAAGAAAATGAATAATTTGATTGGTATTTTAATTTTAGACGAGGACAAAAGAATAACTAGATGGAAAACATGTGTAAGGGAGAGAGAATGACTAATGACGCCTACTTTTTGCACCTTTTCAACATTTTTAGTTTTCTGTTAAATTTAATTGTGTGTCATTGGATTGAACTATTGGACCCACATCATTTAACTAAAGGTTTTTTTTTTTGTTGGTTTTGGATATTTTATTGGATTTAATTTTTATAGTTTAGATTATATAATATTTGGGGAAAATACAAATCGATACAAAAATATATACTTATTTGAAGGAAAATATAGTATAAAAAACTTTTTGGTCAAAAGTACATGTAATTGGAAAAAGACGAAAAAGCATCAATTAAAAGCAAAACTTGCAAAATTTAGTTTTTTTTGGAAATCATCCATATTCCTTATCACATTAAACACAATTCTGACAAATAAAGACAAAAAAATCGATGGTTTCTTCCTATTTCTTTGTCAGTTTTTGAAATTTGAAACACCATGTTCCATATCTATAAAGAACTGGATTTGCTACCTATAGAAAACCAAATCGATAATTTCTTTTTTGGAGGAAGACCATCCAAAAAAATCTCTGGCAAATTTGGGCTTCATGTTCTTACTGTTGTCGGAATAATCTGCACCAAATCGTAATATCAATGACTATATGATTTATTTTTTTGGTGTCACTCCGATGAAACTGTTCAGTGTATCTCATTATTATATCTATTTGATATAAATGGATGGTGCAACTGTATGGTTTTACCCTTTGGTGTCCCTGTATGGTGTAGCGCTTTGTTCTATTTCTTTAGTGTATGTCGTTGGTGTTACTAGATAGTAAAACTCTTCGTTGTATCTCGTTGTTATATTTTTTGGATGTCACTAGATGGTGAATAGGTGGTATAACTCTTTCTTTGGTGTGACACGCCGGTATAACTCTTTGGTGTATCTTTTTGGTTTATCTTTTTGGTGTATATCTTTTAGAGTATCAATACAACGACGTTTAAGAATGCCGAATTCAGATTGAGAGAGAGAAACGCCTTAAATATGCATGGGAGAGAGAAAGAGTTTGAAAGAGAAAATAGATGGAGTGGGAGAGAGAAAGAGAAAAAATAGGGAGAGAGTAACGGTGAGAGAAAATAGTGAGAGAGTAACGGTGAGAGAAAATAGGGAAAGAAAGTTTCTCTCAACTAAGTTTTTAAAAATGTACCCACCCCCGATTGTCCCTATATTACACCGACAAACTTGAGGCCTCTTTTTTTAATTGGGCTTAAAGGCTTGATTTAGTTACAGTTGGGCCTATGGCCCTGCTTTAGTTGCGTTTGGGCCTCACTTGTACAACACTTGTAGCAGCAATGAAAAAACAGGGCTTTATCTCAGATCCCTTTTCTCGGTCCTCCTTCAAAACCCCACTTTCTCTCCCTAGGGTTTCTGTGTCTCCTCCACCTTCCTATCCCAACTCGCCCATACAAACCCAGAACAAAACCCTTTTAAAAGCTTTATCAATCTATCATGAAGACTGTTTCGGGCAAAGTCGAATCTACGAAGCCAGTCTCTCTCTCTAAAGCAGCGAAAATTTTGTCCAATTTCGTTTCCTTCGACAATGGAGCTCCTCATGCCGTGTCTGTATATCTCAGACGCGCTTCGGCCTCATTCAATGACTTGGTTCAGTTCCACAAAGAACTTAAAGCTAAGCAATCCGATCGCAAGCACAAGAAGCATCGGCATAGCAATATAAGCGATGAAACCTCGATGAAGGTTGAGCAAAACTCACAAGAAGCTGCAGAAGAGAGTGTCCAAAAAGTGGAGCATAGAGGGAAACGCAGGGAAAACGAAAACCCGATAAACGTTGAGCAGAACCCATATGAAGTTGAAGAAGATAGGGTCAGAAATTTGGAAAGTAGTGGCAAACACAAGAAATATGAGAATGCGGTAAGGATCGGGAAAAACCCAGATGAAGCTGAAGAAGAAAGACTAGAAAATGTTAAGCATAGTCGCAGACACAAGAAAGAGAAAAACCGAATCGAGAATGAGCAGAATTCATATGAAGTTGAAGACGGTAGAGTTGGAAATGGGGAGGGCAATGCCGGGAACAGAGATAAGAAGAAAAAGAAAAAGGATGATTATGATGATGCAGTTGTGGGTAGTTTTGAAGTAGAGGAGGAAAACAGGAAGAAGAGGAAGACCCGGGAGGTTGATGAGATGGAGATTGTTGGTTTAGCTGAGCAGAGTGGCTTGAAGAAGAAGAAGAAGAAAAGGAGGAGGGAAATTGGAGGAGATGAGTAGTGGTAACTCATTTTTCTGCATTGTTGTGGCTATTGTTACTTGATAGTTGATTAAAGAAGCTTTTACTTTTCTGCAATCAATGGGTTGTGGATCATTTGAAAATTTGGTGGTGGTAATCTCTGGTGATCGATGTTCCTGCATTTTTCTGGATGTTTGTTATTTTATGATGATTGAAGGGGGTATTATTCTTGAGCAATTTGATGGGTTGTTGGAGATGAGTAGTGGTGTTCGATGTTTCTGCATTGTAGCTCTTATTAATTTATAGATGATCTAAGGAGGGTTTGTTTTTGAGCAATTATAGGGGGATCTCTAGGAAGTTTGGTGGTGGTAATGTCTTTCATGTAATACTAGAGAAATTTTGTACCTTTTAACAGTCACCAGATTTAAATGTCAGANTAATTTATAGATGATCTAAGGAGGGTTTGTTTTTGAGCAATTATAGGGGGATCTCTTGGAAGTTTGGTGGTGGTAATGTCTTTCATGTAATACTAGAGAAATTTTGTACCTTTTAACAGATCACCAGATTTAAATGTCACAATATATTTTTTATGTGGTTAATGAAATGCTCCCTTTTTGATAGAACTATTGGCGCAAAGTGTTCTGTTTCTTCTGAATATAATCTCTATATGGAATAAATGGATGTTGATATGAGTGACTATAAAACAAGGTGGAAACTCTCCTTCGCAGCACCAGATTTTCATATACCACGAAGTATTGCCAATGAAACAAGTGCGGTATAGGACTTTATTCAGGTTGTGCTTCTGTTGTAGCTTTACTTGTGTTTGTTGATCATAGAAGTTGCAGTTACCAGGGTAAATGTCGGATGGTTTTCAAGTGTGTTCTGTTTGTTGCCATGGCGGTGTTGTTGCCGTGATCATTTTGTCCTGTTAGACATTGATGGTAGCGAGATACTACTGAATAGGTTTGTAGAGTATATTATAATTTTATGCATTACAGACTCTGAAAAGAACTGGAGCGGTTCCTGATTCGCACTATAATTGTGTTACCAGAAATATAGATACGTTTGATTATTTTCTATCTGTCTAAATCTAGTCTTGCTTTATTTTATGACATAGTAGCCTTGGATTGTGCTGGAGATTCTTTTACTTTGTGTGATCTATTCCTACATGGTTACAAACACATCAAGTTAACATACAACTGAAATGTGAGCAAACAGAGAAGAAATGTAATCAAAACAATCAAGCACAGGTTAACCACCTTCCATTTTCTCAACTTCTCATAGTTTGTATGCTTACATTGTATGACTTTGAAATTCTTTTGCATCTGAAAGATCAATTTTCAGATGAACCCAAAGTCCAAATGGGTGTTGACAAAAGATTATTACAGAAAGCATTACAGAAAGAATATGAATTCATATATACATTATGTTGATTGGAGCATTGGATGTGGATATTGGATAGCATACCATCAGTTTGGATAATCGGAGATGGTTATCTGTAACTGGGACTCAGACACATAACGCCTAACGAAAGCTCTTTTCCACCAAACTTCGAATGCTCTCTGAATATTGGGACAGTCATCCCCTTTGTTAAGAAATCGATCAAACCAATTAAGCAAGATAGTTTGTTGCTGAGGCAAAGGCAGAGTCAGAATTGTCTGGCCTAGTCCATCCTCAACGAGTTTTTTGTCCACTGATCTATAAGCCCTCCTCATCCACCCAAAGTCCTCATACAGAGCTTCTAACCATGTGGAAAGAAGTGAATAACGGGTCTCTTTTGGCACCAAAATATGCCCTCTCCCAATTGCAATACAAAGTTGTGCAGTGATCCTGCTTATTTCGTGCCTGTACATGGTGGGAATTTTTGAATGGAGAACAGCAAGCTCCTTCTGATCCGCCCACAATTTCACAAATTCATCCCCCAATTTTCTATCAATTAGAATATCAACAATCCACTGCATATTGTCAGCTTCTCGAGCTATCTCACCCATCAAAACACCTCGATCCCGCCTGCTTTCATCCATGCATGTAGCTTCAGATAAGCACAGTATAAGAGAACTTAGGCATCCATGGCAAAGATGAAGAAGGGTATCTTTGGAGATATCAAGCCTATTGCTGTAACTACTGTGATCAGATGCATCTTCTCTAAGCAATCGAGAAATTAACGTTTTCATATCCCTGCGGGCTTTATCATCCTTGGCTTGTAATACACCAGTCAACAATCTCAATAAGATGTCATCAGCTCTTGAAGACATGGATGGCTCGGCTGAAACCCTCTGCAAAACATCAGTGACTGAGTCCTGAATCTGAAGTTCACTAAGATGGGATACCACTTTGTCCTCTTCTTCCTCAGACCAAGGAATTGCTTCCAAATACTCCAAACATGATATTATCCCAGCATCAAACATGATAGCTGCAGATACCTGGAAGAGGACACTGGGTTGAGAGAAATTTTACATTTTTAATAAGAAACAAAACTTTCAATTCATAGAAAGAGGAACATTTTACATGGCAGACCAAATTAAGATTATCAAAAGGGACAGGGTTTTCTGGATTTGTAACTGGAAAAACAGAGTGCAAACATATCGGCCTATCCACATTTGACATCATTCTTTCCCTTCATTGTTGTTACAAACAATCAAATTCATACTGATATCCAACATTGAGCTGAAAGGCAGAGACTGTCGTCCTTGTGGTCTGTTCCATACTAAGAACATTGAGGACAATAATAAAACTAAAATTTTGGTTTCTAAATAAAACAAATGTAAGAACTTCCGGTTTCCAATCTCCCGGTGAAATGAAACTCTCTCTTCATACGAATTTCATAGCTTCTTTTCCTTTCCCACAGTTGATCAACTACCAACAGTACCATCTCATATAAGTCACAACCACAAGCAAAAACAGACACACTCATAACCAAATCCCATTGCATCTAATTAAAGAACTTGAATTTGCAAAACTTGTTTTTTTGCTTCAATTCCTCAAATAAAAATCAATTTTCCCCACATTTTCTATGCACAACACAGAACCATTTCTGACTAAACCACTTCATAATTCCCCAAACCCTTCGACAAAATCATCTATCACAACCTTCTCCCATTAAAAATCATTATAAACCCAATAGCATTATTCCAAAAACCCTTAAATGAAGTTGTCTATCAACAAATCTACATTGCTCATGCCAACATGTTGAAGAAAACAAACTGGAGTGAAATTTTAAAAAAAAAAAAAAAACTAAAAACACAAACCTTTAACAAACCCAAGATTTTGGAGACCTCCTCACCCATCAATTTTCTCTTCAAATCCTCACAATACATCAACACAAGAGTCTCTACATACACCTCAACATCATCAACCTCACAAATCTCCACAGAGTGGGATCCACTTCTTCGCAACTTCTCGGCAAAGAACCTGCTTTTATCAGCAAGAACCCTCTTGTGCACATCCATAGAAACGGTAAACCCATCAGTCGCAGTGATTGTGAGCTTCACATCACCAAACCCTAAAAAGCCATCAGGGTTTCGAAATGGGGCTTCAGCTAAAACCCTAGAGATTCTTTCTTGGAGTCTATGGCGGGTCTCCAGGGTCTGTTTGGACTCTCGTGTCTGTTCCTCTGACATCATTTCGAAAAGGGTCGGGCTTGATCGGCTCGGACTTGGGCGGATTTGGTTCTGGGTCTGGATGGGTGAGTTGGGATAGGAAGGTGGAGGAGACACAGAAACCCTAGAGAGAGAAAGTGGTGTTTTTGAAGGAGGCCCGAGAAAGGGATCTGAGATAAACCCTTGTTTTATCATTGCTGAGACTTGATGCTTTGATTTGCTGCAGGTGTTGTGATTGTTCTCAGAAGCCATTGAAGGAGCTGTCTTTGTGTGTGTGTGTGTGTGTGTGTGTGTGTGTGTGTGTGTGAGAGAGAGAGAGAGAGAGAGACAGAGAGAGAGACAGACAGACTCCAAGAAAAAGCAAGAAGCTCAAGAAATATGTAAGACAGTGCTGAGCTTTAGCTTTGGATCTGTATATACTATCTAGTGCAGGTGACAGTGGATTAGTTGTTAATAAATTAAAACGGTAAAAACGGCTTATTAAAAAAAGGGCGGGGGATAACATATTGGGTAGGTGGGAACAGTAGAAAAAAGATATTTTATTAATTTTTTTACTTACAATACTAATTAATTGTATTTTTTTGTGTCTAACATTAATTGAAAAATATATTTTATAGATTTTTTAAATTTTTTACATAGTATTATATAATTTACTTTAGAATTAAATATTTGTTATTGAGACGAATGGTAACACGAATACAATCTAAATAAAAATGACACGACTTAAAAATGACATAATAGAACACGATACGAATTAATACCCTTAAAATTTATGGAGGGGTGTCAATGCAAATTTTCATACTCGTAGGGATCAACAAACCACAAAAGTCAATTTTAATTGATTTTTTTTGGTTATATTATATGATACAATGGACTTTATATATATATATATATATATATATATATATATATATATATATATATAGATATTTAGTCATAATTCGTACTTAAAGACACGATGAAATATAAAATTCGAGTGTCTAAAAAATCGATCATACTATATTAAATTTTTTCAATATGCATATATTATCGTATATGGATATCATNACAAAAGTCAATTTTAATTGATTTTTTTTGGTTATATTATATGATACAATGGACTTTATATATATATATATATATATATATATAGATATTTAGTCATAATCCGTACTTAAAGACACGATGAAATATAAAATTCAAGTGTCTAAAAAATCGATCATACTATATTAAATTTTTTCAATATACATATATTATCGTATATGGATAATGTTTGAAAGAAAAATTATGTTAAATTATAAATTAATCAAATATTAAATGATTGAACATGTGATAAAAATAAATTATGTAATATTTTTAAGAGGAAAAATATGTAAGAGATAAAAATTTAAATTGTTATGTGGTTTATTATATTGATAGAAATATATATTAGACATGCCAAAATGTGNTTCAATATACATATATTATCGTATATGGATAATGTTTGAAAGAAAAATTATGTTAAATTATAAATTAATCAAATATTAAATGATTGAACATGTGATAGAAATAAATTATGTAATATTTTTAAGAGGAAAAATATGTAAGAGATAAAAATTTAAATTGTTACGTGGTTTATTATATTGATAGAAATATATATTAGGCATTCCAAAATGTGAGAGTTCTTCTACTGTTAATATAGAAGTAGAAGAACAGCAAAACATAATAATGACTAGAAAACGATTTTGAGAGAAGTTTTGTGCACAGAAAAAGGAAGGTGGGGGTGATTGGGAGAATTTCGAGCGACAAAAGTGTTACTTTGTTGCTTATTGTTGCCTTTGGCGCAGCAACAAAACAAATAAGCATCTCTATCTCTCTGCATTTTAATGGGTCATCTTTTTATGAGGTCACTTTCCACAAGTCCATATTTGTTGGGTCCAAAAATAAGGATTTTCGGATTAATTTATGCGTATTTTGAATAATTTTTTGTACACCATCTTAACATAGACCGTTAGATAAATAAGAGAATCTACGGTACTGCTTGGTCAAATAATGGTACCGTACCACTAAAAAAGTGTGGCTGTAAATTTTTTGGTATTAAATATTACTCAAACCTGTGAATTTTTCATCATTAAATATTATTCACTAAAGGTGATAATTTTGTCTATAAATGTAATAACATTATCATAAAGAGTTGTAAACTCACCTCAAGAGATTATAAGCTCACCTCACATTTAGAGGTGATACTTTTACCTTTAGTGCTTGTAATTTAACCTTAAATAGTTATAACTTTATATCCAAATGTAGTAATTTTACCATAAATAGTTATAATCTCATATCAAAAAGTTGTAATCCAACATCTAAAAATGATAATTTTACCTATATAGAATATAATTTATCCTCAAATAATTATAACCACACTTTCAAAAATAGCAATTTTACTTTCAATTGTTGTAATCTTACCTAAAAAATTTATATCTCACATTTTAAGGTGATAAATTTATATCAAGAGTAATAACATTTTCTTTACAAGTAGTAACATTACATTTAATAAGTCATGATCGATCCCAATGCCATTTTTTTTTTTTTTTGTGATTCCACTCAATTAAGACCGATCATGATTTTTTTAGGATCGATCCCAATTCCAAATTATTATTATTGTTATTATTATTTTATGATTTCACTCAATTAGGATCGATCATGACTATATGAGATCGATCTTAATATTCATTAGATGGTCCAAAAATTATACCAAACTAAATTTTTGTTGATTCTAATTAAATATGATCGATCATGACTAGTTGAACTTTTTTTTTTTTGAACTGGTCTCGATCCTATATTCAGTTACATTAAATTGACATGTAATTTTATGAAATTATTTTTTAATTTTATCCAACTAATACTTAGTTCATAAAAAATAACAATAAATTGAACTTCAATTGTATTAAATCAACATTCAAAATTATAAATTTAAAATTCATAAAATTATTTTTCGCTACTTTAGAGAGAGAGACCTGCTTGGTAGACCAAATAACATTACCATTTGCAAAGACAAAATTATTACTCTTGAGATAAAGTTATCACTCTTAAATGTAAAATACAAACCCTTTAAGTAAGGTTACAATAATTGAAAGTAAAATTACTATCTTTAAAAATAAGGTTATAATCATTTGAGTATAAATTATATTCTATATAGGTAAAATTACCATCTTTAGATATTGGCTTGCAACTTTTTAATGTAAGGTTATAACTATTTATGGTAAAATTACTATTTTTGGATATGAAATTATAACTATTTAAGATTATGTTACAAGCACTAAAGGTAAAAGTATCATCTCTAGATGTGAGGTAAGCTTACAATCTTTTGAGGTGGGTTTACAACCCTTTAAGGTAATGTTATTACATTTATAAGCAAAGTTATCACCTTTAGTGAGTAATATTTAAAGACAAAATTCACAACCACATATTTGAGTAATATTTAATGTCAAAAAATTTACAGTCAAATCTTTTTGGCAGTACTATACGACTATTTGATTAGATGGTACCGTAAACACTTCCAAAATTAATAAACCTCACATAATTTATTAAATATCCAACAACTCTAAATATATTACATCAAGTGATGTAAGAAAAAAAAGTGATATNCGCAGCAACAAAACAAATAAGCATCTCTATCTCTCTGCATTTTAATGGGTCATCTTCTTATGAGGTCACTGTCCACAAGTCCATATTTGTTGGGTCCAACGATAAAGATTTTCGGATTAATTTATGCGTATTTTGAATAATTTTTTGTACACCATCTCAACATAGACCGTTAGATTAATGAGAGAATCTACGGTACCGCTTGGTAAAATAATAGTATCGTACCACTAAAAAAGTGTGACTGTAAATTTTTTGGTATTAAATATTACTCAAACGTGTCACTGTGAATTTTTCATCATTAAATATTATTCACTAAAGGTAATAATTTTGTCTATAAATGTAATAACATTATCATAAAGGGTTGTAAACTCACCTCAAGAGATTATAAGTTCACCTCACATCTAGAGGTGGTACTTTTACCTTTAGTGAGTAATATTTAAAGACAAAAAATTCACAACCACATATTTGAGTAATATTTAATGCCAAAAAATTTACAGTCAAATCTTTTTGGCAGTACTATATGACTAATTGATTAGATGGTACCGTAAACTCTCCCTAGATTAATAAATTTCACATAATTTATTTAATATCCAACAACTCTAAATATATTACATCAAGTGATGTAAGAAAAAAAAGGGATCTCCACAATATTATTCATCATGAAATTTACCCCACTTGCTGAAAGTGGGGTTCAGGTTTTGAGTTTTCCACAATATTATTCATCATGAAATTTACCCCACTTTGGTTTTGAGTTTTCCACAATATTATTCATCATGAAATTTACCCCACTTCCTGAAAGTGGAGTTCAGGTTTTGAGTTTTGTGGGGACTGATAATGATGACAGTGACATGCACCTACTAAGCAAGATAAGATCCCATTGGATAACTTTGTAATTGTCATCCTATTGCATTTTCTGTTGTTTGAAATCATGAATTTCTAAGGTCACATTGCACACTCGCAGAAATAAAGTTTAGGTGTATGCAATCACCCACCGCCTACAAATACCATTTAAACCCAAGAAGCACTGGAAAAAATGGAATCCATAAAATCTCCATTGTTAGCCTGAGCATGTTTCATTCTGGTGATTGATTTAGGTAACCTACTTTGTAAATATGCTGTCATGATCAAACTTGATGAGTAGTCTGGTTCACAACAAGCAAGTTATGAAGACAGCCATAAACAATACAATTAGGCAGCAGAAATACTGGACCTTGCCGAATTCCTGAACTTAAAATCAATTCGTAAATTTTCCGATATTCTAGTTTAAAAGACAAAAAAAATTACATAAAGTTTATCAAGAAAAAAGAGGAAGGGCTTAATAAACTTATTTATTAAAAATCTTCCAATACACTGAACACAGATTACAAAACATAAGACCATGCACACGCAACAGGCGAAAAAGTGGACAAGCCAAGAACCTTGATTTCCTACTACAACTAGGACCAGGCTAACTTTAAGGTAGGTGTGGAAGGTGAAAAACAAGCAAAACAAACAATAATCACACAACAAGAGGCAGAGCTCTCCCAGTCCTTTCATTATGTGCCTTGATTAGGAGATGCATAGATTCAGTTCTGCAGCAGAGAAAGTACGTATGAAAGAAGAGAAAGAAACTGCAGTTTTTCGTAAGCAGACACATACTGCTGTGAATATAATAAGGCAGAAGAGAGACCTTTTAGAAAACATTTGTTTGCAAATCCTGTAGTCCAGGGTCGATATCTTTAAGTTCCTTGGCTTCGGTTGTCTCAAAAAGAGGAGCATCGAGCTTGGGAGGGTTCTGAAGAACAAA